CACTAACCATTAATATTACAAATACACAGACACACACTAACCATTAATATTACAAATACACACACACACACGAACCATTAATATTAAAAAATACACAGACACACACTAACCATTAATATTACAAATACACAGACACACACTAACCATTAATATTACAATACACAGACACACACTAACCATTAACATTACAAATACACACACACACACTAACCATTAGTATTAAAAAATACACAGACACACACTAACCATTAATATTACAAATACACAGACACACACTAACCATTAATATTACAAATACACACACACACACGAACCATTAATATTAAAAAATACACAGACACACACTAACCATTAATATTACAAATACACAGACACACACTAACCATTAATATTACAAATACACAGACACACACTAACCATTAACATTACAAATACACACACACACACTAACCATTAGTATTAAAAAATACACAGACACACACTAACCATTAATATTACAAATACACACACACAAACCATTAATATTACAAATACACACACACACACTAACCATTAATATTACAAATACACACACACACACTAACCATTAATGTTACAAATACACACACACACACACTAACCATTAATATTACAAATACACACACACACACACACACACACACACACACACACACACACACACACATACACACACACACATGATCCATTAATATGACACAACATGCACACACACACGATCCGTAATATCTGCCTTGTCCTGATCCACCACAATATACTCCTGTCTGATCCACCACAATATACTCCTGTCTGATCCACCACAATATACTCCTGTCTGATCCACCACAATATACTCCTGTCTGACTTGTCCTGATCCCCCCACAGTTCGCGTCTGCCATCCCCCCTGGCTGGTAAAGCACCCAGTAACCCAATCCTGTTACCCAATCCCGTTACCCAATCCCGTAACCCAATCCTGTAACCCAATCCTGTAACACAATCCTGTAACCCAATCCTGTAACACAATCCTGTAACACAATCGTGTAACACAAGCCTCCAAACTCACTTAGCAAAGCCAATAAAATCCTCGTGGTTGGTGTTCATGTAAGACAGCTGTATCTCAATAAACTGCAGGATCTGCTGCTTCACAATTTGTTCCTGCTCTCTGATGCGTGTGCTCACAATGCGCTCCGTCTCTTCCCGTAGACGAGGGTAGCGAGACATCTGCGAGAAAACAGACAAAGTTTTCCATTAGACTTCAGGACTCGTAAACCAAAGTCTGGATGTCCTTTCCACACATTGGGGAACAACTTTCCCACAGAAATCTTCTATAAATAGACATATTTACATAGTACTATGTTTTACATACACACATGTCCACTAATGTTTAAATTGTGAGGTTTTTATTAATGTAATGCGCATAGAGCATTTTTTAAAGAAAATGGAAATGCGCAGCAAAAATGCTATTCATTATTACTATTATATTATAACTTTCATCAACTTTCCCTTTCTTTGATCCGACTGACAGCAGCAAAGACGTATAAAAATTCCTTTCTTTGTACCAATGGGAATGTTTCAATCATCTGTCGTTTAAGCCCTGTTAAAACAACCTTCAGTGAATCTCTCAGGCCAAACTGGAAACAAACAAAGCAATTTTTCTTTTTACTATGATGACAATTTCTAGTGACAGAAACGACATTCTCTAGTTACAAAAATGACAATCTCTTGTTGCAGAAATTGTCTCATTACCTTCTCTGAGCATTTGCTTACTCACCAACCACCCACAGTCTATTGGTCAGCGTGTGAGAACTTATCTTCTCTGAACACTTGTCTATTGGTCAGCGTGTGTGACTTACCTCCTCTGAACACATGTCTATTGGTCAGCAAGTGTGACTTACCTTCTCTGAGCACATGTCTATTGGTCAGCGAGTGTGACTTACCTTCTCTGAACACATGTCTATTGGTTAGCGAGTATGACTTACCTTCTCCGAACACTTGCGGACAACGTTGGAGAGTTCCGTGACGACCAGGTCGACGGCGTGTAGAGAGGGCTCCTTCAGACGTTTGATCTGTTTCTTCACGATGCTCTCAAAGGCCATGTCGGGCGTGAACAGACCGGTCCTGAAACACACACGGCACACCGTCACAGCCCACAAAACCAAACACACACACACCTTTTCTTGGTTCATGAAGGTATTTTTCACACCCTCCTCAATACAATTTAGGTAAATTAGGAGACAGTCTTCAAAACCCTGCCTGTGAGGAACACCCGGGCTGAGAGGGATACAACATCCCAGCAGACAGACCCGGGCTGAGAGGGATACAACATCCCAGCAGACAGACCCGGGCTGAGAGGGATACAACATCCCAGCAGACAGACCCGGGCTG